ACCAGTGATGACGCAAGGTAAACATGCCCTGCCCTCCCGGTAGAACACCACCCTATTCTTACAGCCGTCTATCTATTCTATCTTTTTCATAGTTATGACAGGGTGTTAGCTTATCCAATATCCACATCTTTGTGGAAAGGTGTCATAATGATGTTTTGGTTATTTTGAAAGAAGAAGTCACAAAACATAAACGTTTCTGCGAGAAAGCGTAAGCCAATTATGTGGGCTGTTAACGTCATATTCTGCATATTAATGCGTTGATATGAGAATCAGAGACACTATGATTGTCAGCTGAAGGAGTCTTGTAACATTAAAAAAACCGTGATTGAACGTTCCTCAATGAAATCCATGTGTCAGGTAGATTGACAGTTATGACGACGCGAATAGAACTGCCTCAATTTGAGAATCAGGCTCCCTTTGACTCACAGTGAGATCTTTCATCTCCCAGATTGTTTCATTAATACCCTTACATCCACAACGACAACTTGTCTTATAATTGCAAGGAGAAAACCGAAATACCGACACAACGCCATAAATCAAACACTTGATGTAAGCATTCTCTAACTAGATCACAAATCATACAGCTCTCAAAAGACAATTATCCACGAGACAAAACAATAAACCAGACTTTTTGTATGATTCACTGAAATCTGTCAAATCGGAGGTAGATAAAGGCAGAACAGTTGTGTACGGTTGTAATGGGACCATCATACTGTCGGCCACTAACGTCGCCCACCGCCTGGACGTGTCACGTGACCTCCACATGACCCCCCGTTTACGTTCGGCAGGTGTGGAAGTTGACAGGTAATGGTTGGAGAAGGACGTCTACTAACGGCTATACACGTTTATCGTTAGTAGCGTCCTCTCCATATGACACTGGTTACAGTCATCAAGTCAGTTTCAGAAATGTGGTCATCCGTCATCTAAGAACGTGCAAGGTGACTATGATATTGCTCCCAAGGACAAAACATCACATCACGGACACAAAACAAGCAATATAACGAGGGTGTTTGGGGAGTGGGAGACGGCGGAGACAGGCACTTGAGGCGACACGGTGTATTTTTTACACGCGCATTTCTCGGATGCACTAAACGGTATTCATTGTGACCACGGACACATTTCTGGCATCAACCATGGAGGAGCGTTATTCATAACGTTAATCTAATTAGTATTTTGTCCAGCTTAAGGTCATATTTACATTTTCATAATGTAATCATTATGGGAAAACAATAATGTAAACATAATAGTGAAGCGACAAAAACTCGTTCTTAATCAAAGGCAATCTCTATCAAAAGTACGATTTCGACTATCTAGGGGAAGTGAACTGAGATTTAATCGAAAAAAATCCACTGTCCAAGAGAATGCTTGAACAAATAATTATCCCTTCGACTGCTGACATGAACTGAAACTGTCTGCCACTAAACATACATTGTAGCAAGATGTTACTTTCAACTTCATACAAAACTACTGAACTGTTACCATTACTGAAAGCTATGAGATCAAGTTTACGTATAAACGTCTCGGCCGAATTACCTCGTTTGATTTTGCAAATCCGTCTAAAATTGCCGATTCCTGTGCATAAAAGAGATAGATCGGCCCGAAAGGGAGCCCCACTGGGATTCATCGCGATGTATACTTCTTGCCTAACTCTGATCCCTAATTTTCAAACATGTTTTGAGCATTTTACATATTGTCTTCTCAGCCATCTTCATATGACATTAAATTTAAATTTAAAATTGTCCCGAGCATCTGAAGATAGAGATATACCTATGGTCACCACGTTAGTATCAAATGCCCAATGTGTCAAGAAACAACGATTTACTATAGTCATATGTCGGTGAGGAGTCATTATTACCACGAATGAAAATATAAAATAAAAGGCCACAACGCCTGCACTAACACTGCTGTTTCGTCTGATAATATATGTTGCCATAATATGACCTCGTATGTGGGGGTGGGAGTGGGTTGCGTCCCTTTGGCATGACAGAAACCAATGATGGTGGGTTCGAATCCCGGTTCGCACCGATAATGTTTCTGGGTTACTCAGCATCATACCAATGCTTGTGGGATTCACAAAGGTGGTAAACGTCTGAGACCTGCATCACTTCGGGCTTTCCTCCCACATCAAGCTGACACGCCGTGATATAACTAGAATAATATTAATAGCGGCGTTAAACCCAACTCACTCGTATCCCACTTCATAGATATCGTTACAATATCTATCACGCGATGATGTCAGAAGCATATTCCCAGCATCATAATAGTTGCTCATAATGTATATAAGGCAATGATCTATAGGTGTCTTGGACCATACAAGACCCTTAACAAATGTAAGATATGAGATGTGGTCAGTATCATCGTATTAAAATGTACTATAGTTAGTAAGGAGAACATTTTGATTATTGAACATCGTTATGGTTATCGCCATGTTGGATTATTCACCAATGGAGACATGACAGTTACCAATATCGTAATTATATTTATTGTAAAAGCGAAGTTTTTCATGCACTTGGTTTGTGTGTTGCTTATAGTTAAAGCTGCACTCAGCAATGTTCCAGCTGTCTGGCGGCGGTCTGTAAATAATCGAGTCTGGACCAGACAATCCGCCGATTGACGTCGTGAACATTGATGTACGCCATTGGGATACGATGCATCAACCAGGTTAGCGAATCTGACCATCCGATCCCGTTAGGCGCCCCTTACAACAGGCATAGTCGCCTCTTACAACAGGCATAGTCGCGTCTTACAACAGGCATAGTCGCGTCTTACAACAGGCATAGTCGCGTCTTACAACAGGCATAGTCGCCTCTTACAACAGGCATAGTCGCCTCTTACAACAGGCATAGTCGCGTCTTACAACAGGCTTAGTCGCCTCTTACAACAGGCATAGTCGCGTCTTACAACAGGCATAGTCGCGTCTTACAACATGCATAGTCGCCTCTTACAACAGGCATAGTCGCGTCTTACAATTGGCATAGTCGCGTCTTACAACAGGCATAGTCGCCTCTTACAACAGGCATAGTCACGTCTTACAACAGGCATAGTCACGTCTTACAACAGGCATAGTCGCCTCTTACAACAGGTATAGTCGCCCCTTACAACAGGCATAGTCGCGTCTTACAACAGGCATAGTCGCGTCTTACAACAGGCTTAGTCGCCTCTTACAACAGGCATTATCGCCCCTTACAACAGGCATAGTCGCGTCTTACAACAGGCATAGTCGCGTCTTACAACAGGTATATCGCCCCTTACAACAGGCATAGTCGCGTCTTACAACAGGCATAGTCGCGTCTTACAACAGGCTTAGTCGCCTCTTACAACAGGCATTATCGCCCCTTACAACAGGCATAGTCGCGTCTTACAACAGGCATAGTCGCGTCTTACAACAGGTATATCGCCCCTTACAACAGGCATAGTCGCGTCTTACAACAGGCATAGTCACGTCTTACAAAAGGCATAGTCGCTTCTTACAACAGGCATAGTCGCCTCTTACAACAGGCATAGTCGACACTTACAACAGGCATAGTCCTTTCTCCTTTTGGTAACCATACATGCATGCAGAGTTGTGAGATCTGATATCGTCACTATACAGAAACTATAACACCCTTTAAATACGAACTTGCGTCATTGAGCAATGGATTATGTAATGTGCTGCTTCGAATAACAGACAGCTAGATTGAAAAGACTTTAAACAATTCCTAATTTTGTCAATCATACTGAAACGGGGCACATTAAAATGCTATAAATATATTTAGTCTTACAAAGTGACATGTCATATGTCATGAGAAAAGCAAATTAGTACAACTTCATTCCTAGTTGTGCGACTCATGACAACAAGGGCCTTTCTTATTCATTCCATGAAATGTACATTATTAGTTTCGTCAAGAAGTATGACAATCCACTTTAACTGGTGAATTGTCACAGTCCTTACTCGTGCTTGTATTCATACCAATACCCACAAGAAGCTCGTGATATGTGATGCATTCCTTTTATAATATCCGAAGTAATTCCCACTTTAGACTTGTACCATATGTTCCTATGTTTTCTTCAGGTGAACATTTGACTTGCCATTGCATGTGTTTATGACGGATGCCACCCGAGCAGAATGAGATCTTTACCTGGGCCCACTTGCACAAAGTAATCTTAGCACTAAGATGATCGAAACCCCCATACTTTAACATAGGCTTACGATAGTCTTAGCACTAAGATCGCTTTGAGCAAGTGGGCCCTGGTGTCATCACAATTTCATAGTGATCATCGACACATGCCGATAATCGGAATTATACAAGAGATCTATTGAAATATTTCTATTAACAGAGATTTCTTAGGATTATGGAAATGTTTTTGTAACCTTTACTTATTTGTAATCAATATTTACTTATTTAACAGTGCTACTGATGTTAACTTAAAGCACAACTACATGTGCAAAGAGATAGAACAAGTAATACTATATTTCCTACCATGACTATGTTTATTAAGAACACGGCCAAATTGGAACAAATCAAAAACATCAAGAAAGCGACTTGGCGTCTTCTCGTGGAAGCAGTCATTAAGATTCCAATGCGGTCAGCCGAGTTACTCCTTTAATACCGTTTAATGGCTACTTTATGACACTGACATCCAAGCACAGGAACACATTACGAGATTATGACAGTCGGTTACAAGGATGTATGCTAGACCTTAGTGGATAATTGTGCTGCTGAACATGCTGTCTCCAGCCTCAACTTATGAATAGACGTTTATGGCAAAGTTCTCATTCATAAGAAATGGTCAACGAAACGTTTAGGACAAAACCTACAAAACCATGGGTATTATTAAAAAGGATAATAATGTACATAAGAAAACAATACTAACTGAAAAAAATACATTATCTAATATCAAATGCTACTAGTTGACGTTTGCCTGACGTCGATAAGTGGGCTATCTCTCAACAACATTCGTTTCTTTTGTCAGTTAAATGCCAAGAAGAAAATTAAAAAAAACCAAAGAAATTAACTCACCCTTTGTTTGCCAGTTCTAATACTGTTACACTTGGTGGATTTCTTAAAGTGAAATGCTGCTTTGCCAAAGCTACTGATGTAATATATCCCTCTTGCTGAGCAGGCCGGATACGATACTGCGGGGGCTATACGTTTCTAAGACAGAAGCCACCAGCCCCTGCCTCAGGCTCGACATAAATCAAAATGTACATTTATAAATATCTAAAAAGGGTGTCTCGTTTAAACTGCCACGAAAATTACGTGTTCTCCAAGGGGAGTAACTGTTATTCCCTCATTTAGAGATACTGCAAATATTAATCAGGCTTGCGAATACGTGCCTTTCCCCAAATGGTTTAATATCGTGGGTAATCAACATGACGTACGCTATGAGAGGCGGAAACTCTGACATGTTGACGAACTAGTGCTTACCTAAACATAAATCTGATGCTTGTAGCATACACGCTCCCAGTCTCACCACTATTTAATTGCATTTACTGAAAGTGACTTGTGAGCTCATGTTAAATATTACCATGGTGTTATAAGGGACGTATTTAGTGTCAGCATAAGATACATACTATCGTAGTTGTACTCCCCCCTATTGCAAGTATAGTGTTGGACAGTAATATGAGTATCTTTCTCACACTATTGGTATCCTTACATTGTTCGACATATAGTTCATGCTATCGTTATTAGTTGTTCAATCATATTCAGTTTTCCTTTTGTACCATAGTCGAATGCTTGGATGGGAAATGTATGGGACTTCATCCTTGAGTATGAATTATACTCAATATACTAATATTTCGTTATTTCTTCGAATCATACTTGTAAAGTGAGTGAGTGAGTGAGTGAGATAAAATGTTACGTCACATCGGCATTATTTCAGCCATATCGTGACGAGGAAAAGTACTATATTCAAAATAGATATATTTAGACCATAAAAACCTGTCGTCGAAGGAAAGTAAATAACTAGATTTATCACAGATTGTATTTAAAACTAGCAGGTAATCATTTAAATGTAACTTCATACGTAACAAAACAAGATTAAAATGGACCCCAGCAGGATTTACACCATCCTATCAGTCGCCCGAGGTTGTATGTAAGATTAGCCACAATTAAAATGACAAAAATTCTACGGTTAAAAACGTAGTAGATATAAATATTCTTTGAATGACAGAGACTTACGATATCCTCTCAGGGGGATAATAATTTTACAGTACATTAACCCCCTTCGAGGATACAGCCACAAACAATCACAGATATTAATTTATTCTACTAATGTTAAAAAAATATTTTATACAAAACAAGTTAACAAAATTTAATATATAACTCTATTTCTTTAAAAAAAGCCAATAATTAAATGAGAACTGATATTATTAAAAAGATCCTTCATAGATTTAACCTTGAAATATTTATCCCTTTTGATGGAAAAATCAACACAGTCAAGCAGGACATGCCTGACCGGGATTCTTTCATCACAAGGGATGCAGAACGGAGGATCCTCGGCTTTCAATACATATTCATTGGTGTAGCGCGTATGGCCAATACGACATCGTCGTAAAATGACCTATCCTTGTAAAAAGGGAAGACAAATATTTATCATTATTAGAGGCTTCCTCTAGGCTATCCTGAGTGGGGTATTCATGTTAAACTGCGGCATGGTATCTCAGTGAGCTAGCACTATAAATCGGCATCAGTCCGGACTAGTACAAGCAGCCACACAAACACACACACGTACATGCACGTCGCTATATAAGTGCAATAATCTTGGACGCGACGTAAAAACTCATTTCACCTCACCTCACTTCCTCATCAGGAAAATGCCTAATGATAGCGTCATGATTGTCTAGACTGTTTCAGAGCCTCAAGGTTGATTGTAATGTATTCTTTTTCATGGCACGTAAATGATTGTGTAACATTCTGACTGCTGACAGTTATGGATACCTTTTAGTGTGATCAAAACACAGCGAGAGGTTGAGATCTACAACCTGGAATCTACAACCAACTCCCGGCACATGTCGTTTAGCTAAAAAATACCTATTTTAGACAACCTGGATTATAAATTGTATATAGATCATGTATAGAAAATATATTTCTTAAATGAATAAATTAAATATTCTGATTCGACTTTTACAAACGCTGATGATTAGTGCATTCTTGTGGAACGTGATAGCAATGGAATCGTACACTCGACTCTATTTTTTCAGTGATTTCTTCTATTATTATTTTGTCGCTATTAATTTGAGAAGAAATCATGCTGTGGACTATCAGATCTGCTATTCGAGGATAAATATACTTATTTAAAAGGAGGGCGGTCGGGTAGCCTAGTGGTTAAAGCGTTGGCTCGTCATGCCGAAGACCCGGGTTCGATTCCCGACATGGGTACAATGTGTGAAGCCCATTTCTGGTGTCCCCTACCGTGATATTGCTGGAATATTGCTAAAAGCGGCGTAAAACCATACTCACTCATACTCACTCTTTAAAAGGAACATGGTCACATAATAAACTATTGGACAAGCATAAATATAATGACACCCTAACTAAAACACGTGATGTTATCTACATCTAAGCCAATGCATTGAATCCAACTCCAAATATCGGTACCAGATGGTTTGATTAGTTCATACCATGTTTTGTATACACACTACAAAACAAACATGTTTTATATGTTCATGTTCCTCTACTTGGCCAATTGAAATTGTCATTAAACGCTTTCAATTAATTCATTATGATGTGATCTCCTATGACGTGAAGATTCCGGGGTAGAATAGGTCTTCAGCAACCCATGCTTGCCGTAAAAGGCGACTATGCTTGTCGTAAAAGGCGACTAACGGGATCGGGTGGTCAGGCTCGCTGACTTGGTTGATACAAGTCATCGATCCCAATTACTTGGATCAATGCTCATGATGTCAATCACTGGACTGTCTTGTCCAGACTCGATTATTTTACAGACCGCCGTCATATAGCTTGAAAATTGCTGAGTGCGGCTTTAAACTACAAACAAACAAACAAAAATAAATCCTATGATTACTGGTGTCGAAGAATCAGCGTATTTGCAAATACATTAAAAGCGATAAAACCATTTCCATAACCAACAGAAATGTATGTTCAAGGTGGTACGATTCCGGTGAACACAATGAGGGAGGGGCCTACTTGGCCTGCTGTCACTCTGCCCTAGGTAGAAGTAGTTGCTACTACTGGCCGGAAGTGGGAAATACCATGATGACAAATTGTAGGCAACCACGAGGCAGCATGCGATCGCAATCATCTTCAACATGTAGTTGCACTTTTAGCAAATAGCAATGGCAATGTTAAATAGGTAAATATCGATATCGAATAAATAGAAGTGACAAAACCATTTCTGTAATCACAGGAAAGTTCCATTTTTAGTCCATTGTACGATTCCGACTATACCATAAATTATTATGATTATGAAACACTGTCAAATAGCACTGGTGCCAGGTGTTTGCGAATAGGTGAGCGTATCCTGCCCCAACGGTGGCATCCGACACAAACACATGCAAAGCCAGGCCTTCAAAGGAAACATGGATTTTCTGACAAAGCATTGTCGGCTTAAATAAACGTTAGGTGGAGATGAAATATACAAATATAATCTAAGTTATTATATTTTATTCTAAACCTAATTATGGTATCTAAAATAATTAAACATTTTCCGCATTTACAAATTTGCTATTCTCATTTGACTCGATCATGCCACATACATTTTGATTTATTACCGGCGAAAGGATGCCCCAAAGATCAAAATAAGTATCTTATTTCTGTACTTACTTACTTACTTACTTACTTACTTACTTACTTACTTGTGCATTATGCATATTGAAGATATGACAAGAATTTCACCATTTGATAAAACTTTGCTGTATCAGGCAATTTAATACGGGCGTTGAAGTCAATAAATAGTAAACTGTTTATCCGTCATGCCTCGTATGAAACTTCTTATGTCTCGCGCGAGATACCGGATATGACGTCAGTGTTACATACTGCCAGTCATGAAGAATTTATGAAAAGGTGTTGTTGAAGACCGAAGTGATGCAATGGCAAGGTCGGTGATGTATATCATGATCACGTGGTTATCACGGAAGTCATACCTGGTTACGGCAGCCACATTTATTTCATTTAACGAGTGTTCAACGATTGAAGTTCGTAAACTCAAAATCCATAAACTCGATTTATCGCTTACAACGATGAATTTAAGCATTTGAAGCCTACTTAATACTCATAATCTAACATTGACTTTCCACGGGAGGTACCCTAAGAATGTATGTATCGGGTCGTAGATGCCAGTGATATAAAAGGTAGGCTATGAAGTTGTCATTTAATTCAAGGCGTCATCGCCAGAGTGAGTGAGTGAGTGAGTTGGGTTTAACGCCGCTTTTAACAGTATTGCAGTTATATCGCGGCCTGTCAGCTTAATGTGGGTTGGTTGGTAGGTTGGTTTGTTTGTTTTTTAACGCCGCACTCAGCAATATTCCAGCTATATGACGGCGGTCTGTAAATAATCGAGTCTGGACCAGACAATCCAGAGAATAATATCATGAGCATCGATCAACGCAATTCGGATCGATGACATGCATCAACCAAGTCGCATAGTCTCCCTTTACGGCAAGCATGGGTTGCTGAAGACCTATTCTACCCCGGAATCTTCACGGGTCTACTCGAAGTGATGCAGGTCTCAGACGTTTACCACTTCGGTGAAACCCACGAGCACGGGTATGGTGCTGACAAACCTAGAAACATAATCGGGGCGAACCGGGATTCGAACCCACAATCATAGGTTTCTGGCGTGCCCAAGGAACGCAACTCTGCACAGCAAATCGCGGCGCCTTAGAGGACTGCCCCCCGACGGTGGCCTGAAAGCAATAGCGTCTGGATGAGACAATGCAGTGACGAGTATCTCGAACAGCGTGAAAGCTCCCTTTAAAAGCCATAGTATAGCATCACGTTGACAAGCAAAGTAATAAATTTAGTATATCCCTCTGCATGTCCACAATAACTTTTCTTGAACAACGTAACCAGGCCTTTGATAGTGAAACATTGATTGAAAATCTTACCTGTAAGAAAACTGTGTCTTTCCAAGAAATTTGAATAATATGTACATGCTCTTAAGTATCT